AACAAGTTAAGCATTTGGTTAATTTTGCTTTTATATATGTATAAAACTTATGTAGGCAACTGGTTAGTATCCTCGTTGTTTCAGAACTAGGACTATGATTAGCTATTGGACCGGGCAGTGGGCAGCGCATTCATCCCTCCCAGAATCTACCATCTGATGAGCAACTATAGAATTTGCAATAGACATATCACAAACCCTATTAAAGATTTAGAAAGCGAAACAGAAAACATTGGGTCAAAACCCAAAATGATTAGATAAAAAGAAGAAAGATGTATAATGAAAGCAGCTATTGTCCATAGCTTGGATTATATAAAACAGATATTTTCAGAGGAAATAAACAAAGTCCAAGTCAAAATTCCAAGTATATAATCTTGAACAAGTAAAAGAACCAACTCCATTAAAACACTTATACAAGCAGCTTTAATTCCTCTACATAGTTTGGAAATGTGTAAACTGGAATTGTACGACGTATAAAAATGTCAAACACTGGAAGTTCAAGTACTCTTAACACTTACCATATTGTTTCTCTCAAGATCATAGTAAAAAATGTGGTAACGATCTACCACACAGTTTTGGTAAAACAAAATTTCCCCTCCACTGGTCACTCCAGCAGAATAATAATACATCGAATATATCTGCGGCCAATTCATGGGCTTTTCATAGATATTCTTTGACCATTTATTTTCCTCGACATCCTCCAAAACCCACAACTCAAAAGGACCATGGATGGTATCATAATAAATAGCACCTAACTTACCTTTGTAGTTTACCAGAACCGAACGTCTATCGATCTTTGCTGCCAAGTCTTGATCAATGTTAATGAAACCGAACTTCTCAAACCTAACATCAAAGAAAACGATAAAACGTTCTTCTTGATCAGTCTTTGCTGTAAAATACAAAACACCATTGATACATATCCCATCATCGTACAGAGGATAATAAAGATTGCAACTTTGGATCTTTCTCCATAAAAGATTTCTATTTCCAGTCTCTAAAGTAAGTAGTTGATGCTGAAGAGACGACAACTTCTTCTCTTTTCCATTAACCTCCCAAGTTACACAGTACCTTAAACATTTCATCGATTGGATCAAACCCAAAGTACATTTCTGCCTCCATTCCCTTCATTGGAACTTTAGGTGTTGTTACAGACTCTCCAGTGATGGGATTAACAATCAAAGCCCATGTATAATCACAATCACTTCCAGTAAGTTGACTACAGACCAATCCTTGGACAGGGGGACATAATTTAGAGTAATCTTTGACGGAAATTGTAAGATGATGAGTGGCTACAAGAGACAAATTCACTGATTCTAACTGATCAGGTTGAGGTAAAGAGAAGAATAACAAACTTTCTTCAACTACGAAGGTGAAAAGAAACCTCGGTTGATATGTAGACTTGTCCGGGAACAAGTGGTTGTAATTTGGAAGACGGATTATAGATGACCAGAGTTTCGATACGCCGCGACACCGAGCCATAGACTTCACAGGCATTCTCGACAATATCTATAGGGATCAATAGGGATCAGATCGAAGCGTTCTCCATTAGATTTTGAACATCGGTTACTCATTGCGGCGGAGTTAACCCTAGATTTTGGTTATGCTCGACCAACTGAAACGACACTTTATTGACTACCACAGCTTTGTTTTAGGACCCAATTAAAACAGGCCCGATCTCTCATAGTCTGATCCTTTTTAGAATTATACTACTATTCTGTTATAAATTATACTAATATAAGGTGAGATCTATATCATATATATGTGTTTCTCTCTCTC